CCATTTATCTTATTTTTTTACTTCTGACACCATGTAATAAGTTTGTTACAAGGTTATACTTGAGTTCTTTATTCGTCAAGTACAGTACAATTTCTGACGTAAATAATCGTATAGCAGTACCTCTCGTCTACTTAAGCACAGGCGTAACATAACAGATGGGCCACTCAGTTAATGACAACTACAAGAAGCATAGGTTAAGGCAACGCACCTAACGCCATCTCGTGAACCACTGCACGTAGAATTGCCGGTGGAATTCAAATATTATTACAGTATCACCGGCAATGAAATAGCCGATAAACTAGCCAGAAAAGCTATTCGTTTCGGTAAAGAACTACCTACGTTTAAGCTTCCCCATTCGGACTTATTCATTGAACAAAGGGAAAAATTAACTGTAGAATTTTACAATTATTTATTTAAAAGAGCACAGCATAAAGGCAATCACTTCTTTCGCACAATATACGTTAATTCACCGAAACCGTGGTATTATAAACTAAATTTAAAACGTGACGCAATTGTCCCGGTCTCCCGACTGAGAGCAAATCACTACAACCTAAATCACAGTCTTTTCAGAAAAAATATAGTCGAAGCGCTCGTGCGCTTGTGGTGATCCAGTGCAAGATATAAATCATATTATTTTTCATTGTCCTCTGACGTCTGGACGAGCCACGGGTCTCCGGCGAGTGGTGGAAACCCTCGTGGGCCCACTGTAACGATTTTCTCATTGCATTGAAAAAACCTACAGCTAGAATTTGCAGTCTGATCATGGCATTTTGCAAGTCAACAGACATACATTTGTAAGCACGCGCGCTCCCGCGCGCGCAACAATGGCCTCCGGATTCCCACATTTTCCTTAGTTACTCCCTGAATAGTCCCCCCACCATATACGTCCGACTCAAGTGACAGAGTCAACATCAAATACGATAGTACACCGCTCTCAGTTATCTGAACAAACAGGGGCAAATGCTGGCCATATTGACCTCGTATTAGAGGCAGGAGCCAATATAAATTCAAGAAGAAGAAGAAGACCTAATCACGATTATCAATTATCACCCAGCGTTTACACAGAATACACCGAGTGCGTAATTTGCTATCAAATTGCGCACTCGGTGTATTCTGTGTTTGCTGGGCACAATTGCCAGTAGTGGCATATAGATCACTCTTTAGATCGTTTTCATAAATGTACTAACAAAATCTAATAAAATGAGTTTTCTTCCAATTAATTTTCTATGTTTTTTTTTTTTTATACAAACCGATATATCATTCATAATTGATTTTATCAAACTGCCATGTAAATTAATCGAGAGATATCTGTTTGGAATAAAGAATTAAAATTATAACTATCCCTATCTGAATTTCTATGTATAGACTGCAATTAATGATATTATAATAAATTATAAAATTTAATGCTATAATATTTGAAATGCCACTTAATTGTATTATATTATACAAAATTACGTGATACATGAATTTACTGTCACATATCTCATTTGCTATACTGCTTGTTATCAATCAATCATAAATAAATATTATAACAAAAATATTTATAGATACAACGCAAGAATATAAATATTCTTTCGTGTATAAATTAATATTTCACTCAATTGTAATATACAAATCAATATTTGTTACGACATAGAATCTCAACTAAAATAAAATTTCTCACAATCAGTTTGTGTGTGTTACATGTGTATAAAACATTATGCTTAACTTTTAATCTAGTAAAAAAGAATCTATCTGTACATCCTAAATTATTATATCTCGACGGGCTATCATATAACATGTACAAATCGATAAACAATCGATAATGTAATAATATAATTAATTATAATCATGACAGATGAGATGAAATGTGTGTGTTGTGTGTGTGTGTGTGTGTGTGTGTTTTGTGTGTGTGTGTGTGTGTGTGTGTGTGTGTGTGTGTGTGTTTTATATATATATATATATATATATATATATATATATATATATATATATAT